TGTCATTACTGTGTTATTACTGTGTTATTCCTGTGTCATTACTGTGTTATTACTGTGTTATTCCTGTGTCATTACTGTGTTATTACTGTGTTATTCCTGTGTCATTACTGTGTTATTACTGTGTTATTCCTGTGTCATTACTGTGTTATTACTGTGTTATTCCTGTGTCATTACTGTGTTATTACTGTGTTATTCCTGTGTCATTACTGTGTTATTACTGTGTTATTCCTGTGTCATTACTGTGTTATTACTGTGTTATTCCTGTGTCATTACTGTGTTATTACTGTGTTATTCCTGTGTCATTACTGTGTTATTACTGTGTTATTCCTGTGTTATTTCTGTTATTACTGTGTTATTAATGTGTTATTCCTGTGTTATTACTGAGTTATTTCTGTGTTATTGCTGTGTTATTCCTGAGTTATTACTGTGTTAATCCTGTGTTTTTACTGTGTTATTACTGTTATTACAGAGTTATTCCTGTTTTATTGCTGTTATTACCGTTTTATTAATGTGTTAATTCTGTGTTATTCCTGTGTTATTCCTGCGTTATTCCTGTGTTATAACTGTGCTATTTCTGTTAATACTGATTTATTTCTGTGTTATTTCTGTGTTTTTACTGTGGTATTACTGTTATTTCTGTTATTACTGATATATTCCTGTTATTTCTGTGTTATTCCTGTTACTACTACATTATTACTGTGTTATTCCTGTGTTATTACTACATTATTACTGTGTTATTACTGAGTTATTCCTGTATTATTACTTTTATTACTGTGTTATTCCTGTATTATTACTGAATTATTCCTGTGTTATTACTGTCTATTTCCTGTGTTATTTCTATTACTGTGTTATTCCTGTTATTTCTGCTATTACTGAATTATTCCTGTGTTATTATTCAGTTATTTATGTTAATACTGTGTTATTCCTGTTATTACCATGTTATTTCAGTGTTATTACTGAGTTATTCCTGTGTTATTTCTGTGTTATTTCTGTGTTATTACTGTGTTATTACTGAGTTATTTCTGTGTTATTACTAAGTTATTCCTGTTATTACTGTGTTAATTAGTTGTTATTCCTGTGTTATTTCTGTTGTGACTGAGTTATTCCTGTGTTATGTAGGTGTTATTCCTGTTTTATTACTGTGTTATTCCTGTTATTTCTGTGTTATTTCTGTTTTACTGAGTTATTCCTGTGTTATTTCTGTTGTCACTGTGTTATTCCCGAGTAATTTCTATTATTACTGTGTTATTACTGTGTATTCCGGTGTTATTACTGAACTATTTCTGTTATATCTGTGTTATTAAAGTGTTATTCCTGACACATGCAAAGTATGTTGCAGCTGTTATTTCTATGAAATTATGTTGTCTTTGCTATTCTGTTACTAATAAAATTGTTTTTTTCACTGTTTATCCTTTATTTATCACTGTTTATTATTTTGGCACAATCCCTAAACTGAACTTGAGTAGTTTTACTAAGGGGACCCATCTCACATGAAATTGAACTATGTCAAACATATTCTACCTGCCTTCCTGATATAAATTACTATGAATTTGATATGGTAATTAATACTGAGACACTAATTTGGGCAAAAAGCAATAATGACTAGTTTAAGACTTGAATCTTACAGCTGTGGACTTGCAACTCGACTTGGACTTGCCTGTCTTGACTCGGGACTTGACTTGGGACTTGGCTGTCTTGACTCAGGACTTGACTTGGGACTTGTCTGTCTTGACTTGGGACTTGACTCGAGACTTGAATGCAAAGACTCGAAACTTACTTGTGACTTGCAAAACAATGACTTGGTCCCACCTCTGTCTCCAACTGGTAGGTCGCAGGTCTGTTCTAATTGTTAAAGAAATAAGTCACGTAAAATTGAAAATGTACTCACGCTGAGGCCAGCCTGATGAGTTTGTTTCTTTGTCTGAACAGATTTGGAGAATTTTAGCATTATATCACTTGCTCACCAGTGGATCCTCTCCAGTGAATGGGTGCCATCAGAATGAGTCCAAACAGCTTATAAAAACATCTCAATAATCCACAAGACTCAAGTCCATCATTTAATGTTTTGTGAAGCAAAAAGCTGCGTGTTTATAAGAAACAAAGCCATAATTCATACATTTAAACTGTCACTTTTGGCGCTTTCTCTCCTGATTCAAAAGAGACAACTTTTTAGCACAAGAAAGCAATATTATGTATATATAACTTGTTTGAAGTTAATAATGTCTTGATGGATTTATTACAAACATGCAGCTTTTTTGCTTCATGAGACATTAATTGATGGATTGAAGTTGTGTGGAATACTTCATGTGTTTTTATCAGCTGTTTGTGATGCTACGTTTCTATTTTCCAGTAAGAAAACAAACTCATCTACATCTTGGATGCCCTGAGAGTAACAATAGTTTTAGCCAATTTTATTTATTTTTTTGGTGAACTATGCAAGCAACAATGCATAATTAGAATAGCATTTTTGCAGTGCTTTTCTGGGTACCTCAAGGACAGCCTGTTGAGAAGCAACTGCAATATCTGGGATGTCAAAGGTTAGCTGAACTTCTGTGATAATATTCAAGATTTTACATTTACGGCCAGTCGATTAGTCATATGGTTCCCAACAATCTGTTGGTGGAGACAAGAAAGCAAACACAGAGGGTAAAAGTGTATTTGAATGGCGTTGAGAATGGAAAAAAGCGGGCATGGTGTGGGAGGAGCAGTCACTTAGCACTCACATTCATAGCCACCTAACATGCCAAGGTTAGGGGTTAATGTGTTTCCATGGAAACTGAAACACTGGAGCCGTGAGACTGAGTAGAGATTTGCCTTCCATTTCTTTTCTTTTTTTTATTACAGACTAGATGAGAGGACAGAGGACAGATGACAGAAAGTGATACAGATCCAGAGGGACACATGATTGCTAAAACATAACGACTAGATGAGGATTTTGCATTGCAAAGCTTTAAGACCCGGGTCATAATCTCATTGCAGTTATGATATATAACACATAATACATTTATATTCATGCTAGTCTAGTTTTTGGGAAGATTTTTAATGTTTTTAAAGAAGCCTCTTCTGCTCACCAAGGCTGCATCTATTTGATCAAAAATACAGTAAAAACGGCAATAATCTGAAATATTACAATTTAAAATAACTGTTTTCTATTTTAATATATTTCAAATGTGAAACATCTGAAACATTAATAATGTTGAAAACAGTGGAAACCATTATAAAAAAAAATTCCTGGATAAATGGAAAGTTGAATGAACAGGGCCTTCATATTCAAGCTGCTTAAAAACCTTTAGTGATGCAAGTTGAACAGAGTTTATGAGAATGTGCAGTAATGAGATTCTGTGACACCCAATGAGAATGCACACATATCAATGCTGGATCCAGCAGTCAGGCATGAATGCATACTAGCAACGGTACAGCGAGTTGATGACCTCTAACAATTAAATGGCTGTCTGTGTGAACGTCCCTTCAGGCAGTAATGCATGGAACCTATCATGGAATGTGGTGAACCCTGCTAAATACTGTAAGCCTTACTGTCAAGCTATTATCATTTCAGTGGCATTTTGTTAATCTTTACATTCCTAAACTGAGAAATACTCGTTTCTGCCAGTTCGGAGAAATTATCATCCTATTTCAGCATTTTGACTGACTAATGTATTGAGCTTGACAAGCTATAATAGATGTATATATTTGCTGTCAGCTATGTAAATAAAATATTTACTAGCTTTAAGTCAGATAGAGTGTGTAACAGCAAATGTAAAGCTGAAAGCAAAAAAAATTTGACACATGGAGGAATATGTGTTGGCTTTTTGACACAGACGCCTGGGGAGGAATGTCACACCAAGCCCAATATTGTGTTAAAATAATAATAAAATTAATACAATTAAATTAAACTAGTTTTAGCTCATTCCTTCAAAGAAGAAAATAACTAATTTCATAGAAAGTGTAATCAACTTTATTGGTTGAGAAAGAGTCTTTGACATTTCGCCACAGCGAACAGGTTCATTGTGATTATATTTAAGGTATTAGGAGTTGAGCAGCAGTAGTACTGATAATCACTTATAATAGCAGTTTTATTTTGTTGATTTAATCAAGCCAAACATCTTACTGATGAAGATGCAGACATCCAGGTTTTATAAGAGATGTTAAATTATAAGAGAGCGCCATCTGCAGGATATTGAGGGCAGTTGAAGATATGAATTTAAAACGGGATCAAAATGTATCAGGCTATTGTAATCTCAACAACAATACTGAAACTGTTACCTATCAAATTAAATCAAGATGAAATACAAAAATAGATAGCAAATCCACAAGATCTAACATTAAATTATCTGAAAGAATATTTTACATTATACAGAGATCTCTGTTGTCTAATATTATAGTTGATCTGATAATCATTGTTTTAGACTAGATAGGACTAACATTATATCAAACGATAGATAACAACAACAACAACAACAAAAGTGAATTCACTACAGGGGTATTTTTTGTCTTTACATTTAAATTATATGAAAGCTTATTAAATTTGTTCCAAGACTATAATAAAGCATTTAGCATAATAAAGCAAAACATCACTGAATCAACATTTGATCAACATTTTTGTTAAGGTGCTAATAAGCATTATTTGTTGACGTCATTTAAATTAGTAAACATTTGTGACCCTGGACCACAAAACCACTCATAAGGGTAAATTTTTTGACAATGATATTTATACTTCATCTGAAAGCTGAATAAATAAGCTTTCCATTGATGTATGGTTTGTTAGGATCTGACAATATTTGGCCGAGATACAACTATTTAAACATCTGGAATCTGAGGGTGCAAAAATTGCCTTTAAAGTTGTCTAAATGAAGTTCTTAGCCATGCATATTACTAATCAAAAATTAAGTTTTGATATATTTACAGTAGGAAATTTACAAAATATCTTCATGGAACATGATCTTTACTTAATATCCTAATAAGTTTTGGCATAAAAGAAAAATCAATAATTTTGACCCATACAATGTATTTTTGGCTATTGCTACAAATATACCCCAGCGACTTAAGACTGCTTTTGTGGTCACATTTGTCAACATAAATGTAGATGAAAGCTCATGTGCTAAAGCTCTCCATAAAGTCCACCACATAAAGAAGATAAGCTGGAAAACAACGGGAACAATGGAGAACAATGCTTGCATTGTGCTGCTACATCACAGAAATGATGGTAACTTGTCCATTTAGAAGATCTAAATGTGAAGATTCTGCACAATTTAGCAGTTCAACTGCTCAAATTCTCTACATGAGTAGGAAAGCCCATACAAACACGCCTTATTAATTGTATTTAGAAAATTAAAATATACTGTTTCTAGTTTACTGAAAAAAAATTATTTAAATTTGAAAAGAAAATGTACGTGAAACAGTTTTATATCAGATTGATACAAATATTCAATATTTGTACCAACATATGATTCAAGTATTCTATATGAGATTAAAATTGTTCTAAAGAGTGACAAACTTGAGCAGCAGTGCAGGCAGAGGGATCTGTTGCTTCAAACTGGAGTCTCCTGTGGAAGTGGGAAGGAACACTGATTATGAACAATCATGCATTGTTACAGCAATGGAAAGTCTTCAGTAATTAAACAAAGCTTGATCCAAACGACAGTCTGTTGGAAAATACTCACTAACCAAATAGACAAACCATGACAGGAAGTTCAATCACATGCTATTTCTGAACAAACTGTATAAAACCATGACATAAAAATGCATAAATATGGAAAAATTACTATGGAACATTACTTTGGAAACACACTAAAGTGTTCATGCATTGAATTTCAACTTGGATGTCCATTACATTTTCAATATTGTTATATGGTCTGTTTCCATAGGAATGTGTGTTTTTCCTAAAAACATTTTTAAGGTTTTCTTTCCCTAAAATGATCTTGGGTGTAATAGCCTCCCCTGATTAATTATCTTGCTTAGGAATGCAAATGTAATGTAATACAAACACGAATCAACTTCCCTTGGAAGTTAACATATCAGAATCGAGAATTCAACAATGCCATGATATAAGCTGTAAAATCTTTTACCTTTATCAGCACAACTATTAAGGCAACAAGAAGACCAATTGCCAATATGGTTGTGATAGCGGCCCACACACACATGCCATTACAGCTGCACAAGCGATGCTGCATGAAAAACTTGGCCTTGCGCAGTCGGGCTGCTGTTAGTGGAGGGTAACGGGCGTCATTCAAACTCTCCATAGCAAAAGACTTGATGAGACAGGCACGATGGTGACTCAGCTGGTCGAACGTGTGCCTCCCATGATATCTGCCCATTCCACTGTTTCCTTAAAAAGAGTGAGAAAAAACTGATAGGTATAATGTATAATTCAATGTATTTGTTTAAGATCTGGATATTCTAATATATATAGAATATATATATATATATAGAGAGAGAGAGAGAGAGAGAGAGTTTAATACATATTAAAATGAAAAAAGATGATATATTACATTTTATATTACATTAAATTTTATGTATATAACATTATTACAACCTCCTAATTTATTTTAAGTGATTTCTAATTATATTTATATAATAGTTTCTAATTTAATAGTTGAAACAAATTCATCTTTACCATTACTTGTCCTGAGTGTCTTTATGTCTTATTGGTTGGCTTACCTACACCTCCAAAAGGTAAGGTATTGACAGTGTAATGCATCAAGACATCATTAACAGTCACTCCTCCACTGGTGGTTTCAGCTAGCATCCGCTTAATCACCTAAAAAGTAAAAAAAAAGTTCACTTGGACATTGAAACTGACTCTGCCGTCCAAAAATCATTAGCAATAAAAAGAATACCGTTTTATCAGAGGAAAAGACATAGAGCGCCAATGGCTTTTCTCTTGCATTGATAAAATGTATGGCCTCACTCAAGCCATTAACAGTGACGATGGGCAGCAGTGGTCCAAAGATTTCTTCTTGCATGATTTTGAAATAGGGTAAAACATCCGCCAGAACTGTAGGAGCTGGTGGGGAAGAAAAGTGCATGTTTTTGATTTATTAAATTCAACTGATAAAATTTGTGCCTTTATTATTGGTATTGTCCTTACCTATGTAACATTGTGAGCGATCACTCTCTCCTCCAAGAGCAATAGTGCATTCATTCATTAGAGCCAATACTCTGTCGAAGTGACGTGTGTTAATGATTCTGCAATAGTCTGGAGAGCTTTTAGGATCCTTTTGGTAGAACTCCTGAAATTAGTTCAGATTCTAGGTCATGTCTCACTACCAATGTGAACACCAACTACAATTTAATAATAATAATAAAAAATAAATAAAAAGTACACACCAGTAGTGTTTTTTGAATCTCTTCAACTATCCTGTCCTGGAGGTTTGGCTCACACAGAATATAGTCAGGTGCAATGCATGTCTGGCCACAATTTGCAAACTTTCCCCAGGTTATTCGTCTGATATAAAAACATTTGGAAATCTATTATTTCAGCTGACAGTGTTTCCCAAAGCTTTAAATTATTTAAAGAGACTTAAAAGAAAGACTTGAAAATTACAATTCTGTCATCATTTACTCACTCTCATGAAGAGATTCATGTGGATGTTTTTTCATTCAATTAAAGTCAATGGGGTCCAAAATAATATTGGAACAGGTTTGGAACAACATAGAGGGGGAGTAAATGATCAATTTTAATTTCTGGCTGAACTATCCCTTTAACATAAAACTGTATACTACCGGCATGCCACAGCAATGTCACAGTTCTTGTCAATATAACAGGGGCTTTTCCCACCCAGTTCTAAAGTCACTGGTGTGAGATGATGAGCTGCTGCTTCCATAACCAGTTTTCCCACCACGCTGCTCCCAGTGTACAAGATGTGGTCGAAACGCTGCTTCAGCAGCTCCTGGGTCTCTGAAACCCCTCCTGTCACCACTTGATACATCTCCTAAAATGATGCAAAAGTTTGGCAAGCTGTTTTTAAAAAACCTTGAACAACAAACATGAGACTGAATTATAAAACAAAATGAATGTATGCACCTTATCCAGATATAGAGGAAGCAGTTCTTTCATAAGTCTAGCAGAGTTCTCACTCAGCTCCGATGGTTTCAGCACAGCTGCATTGCCTAAACAAGAATTCCTAGTCTTTAATCTTTCTTCAAAATGTGACAACTTGCTCCACCTTTGAAACAAATGCATGGTTTTGCCATGAAACTCTTCAGAGAAGCTGATTGGTTCTTCAATGCCGGCAGTGCAGTCAACTGACCCTTTGCAAGGACTCGCCCCCCTTTGTTACTGTTGCTATGTCCGACAAGCCATGGCACTCACACCACACATCTCATGTTCTCACGCAGTGAAAAACACATTGCCGAGCAAAGAGAAAACTGACAATGTGCCAACAGACAAGACAGAGCAGGTTACTTCTGGTATGAAACAAAGTCTCAGCTTTCAAATTTTGTCATTTTTTAAGAAATTCAAACAATAAATACAGTTTTGTGGTTCTTTCATTTGTCGTGACTCGTGACAGAACGCTGCAGCACCTCAGTTCAAGCGGCATGTGAACCAATCATCTCTTCCTCTTTACTAGCTATAGCATGAAATAAACATGAATGAACATCCGAAGGTAACTTGTTTCAACCGCGGAAAGACATCAATACACACACCATTTTTCACGTTTTCAACGTTAATCTACTCTCCTGTCTGGTTTGTTTGTTGGACAAAAAATGGCAGATTTGGCGATATGATTGGTCAGATCACCTGTCGAAGGGTCAATTGATCTCTCATTCCTATCTACACAACCTTATTAATTTCCATCCTAACCTCATCCAGCTCAGTACTGTGCAGCATTAGAATTTGCTTTAGTGTTCCTCCTCCCAAGTACCATGTCTAGATCTACTTACCTTAACTTGTATCCTAGTTCCTGTAATTCTGAGCAAGCTTCACTCATGCCAGCAACACCAGCTGAGCAGATCTTGTCCAACAAGATCAATACTTCCTACAATTTGTATTACTAAAATGTATTTCGAGAGTTGTCATAATTAAACTTTATCAACTTTCATCACCTCCTACTGTATATATAAATGTTTTAAAATCCAACTTATTCCCAATCGATAAAATCAAGTCCCGCCCAACATTTCTGTTTGTAAATGCTTTACATTGTGGAAGTAGCATGGCTGAACACAACTTTTAATGTTGGCTGTAATTAGTTACAAAAATCCTACTACCAGCTGCAATAGCTCCAACCAGGGGCTGCAGGATCATGGCCCAAGGGTAGTTCCAGGTTCCAATTATCAGCACAACACCCAAAGGTTCAGGCTTTATGTAAACATCGTCAAGCGCGCTGTTGAGATTCTTCTTCACAGGCTGAGGAGCTGCCCAGTCCGCCATGTCACTTTCCGCCAACTTGATGTCATTCTCGATGCTGATAAGCTCAAAGAGTGAAGTGTTATACGTATTCTGTTTGATGACAGTGACAATAAAGATTTAGCGTTCAGTAACACTGAATGACAATAAAAACATTCAGTGTTGCCACTGAATTAATATTTTATAGCTTTTAAGGAAACACTGATCTGTCAAAATGGCTGTCGTACCCTGTTGAGGTCTTGCTTTAGAGCTTGTTCGATATCTGCTTGGTGTTCAGTGATGAGGCGGTGCAGGGCTCTGAGCTGCTGTTTTCTGTACTGCAGGGGTCTGGATCTGCCTGACTGGAAGACCTCCCTCAAACCATCCACAACCTGCTTTTCCATCTGTACAAGCCTGAATTATATATTTCCTAGAGGTCTGCGCAGAAAAACAGTTACATTTCTTAAATGTTGACTAAACTTCCAATGGGAAAAGAATATTCTGAACTGCAGTATAGAGGATAGCCAATTTTGATAATCTTTAGACTGATCATAAGCAGGAATTTTCCAACATTGATAAAATTGTCAACGTTAAAATTATTTCAGCTATGTGGCAATTCCATTGGCCATTTCAGTCAAGAAATTCAGTTTTTTTACTCCTCATGTAGCTCAACAACCTTCTATGGACACACTGGCAAAAGAATTTCCATTGGATAGTATTTATTACTGATGCTGTGTGGAAGACTGCAAAGAACTCTGCCTATCTAAAAGACAAGGGTTTGGGGATTCAAAAGGACATTTTTAGAGAGGTGATCATGAAAAAACCAACCTGTCCAGAGGCAGTGGTGGACGAAGTACACAAATCAAGTACTTGAGTAAAAGTACAGATTTTTTTCTTCTCAAACCTTGACTGTGGTGTAAAAACACCCCTGGCCAAATGCCCCCCCGAGGGCATCACTTCCCACTTTGATAATTACTGTAGTTACCATGTTCTGAACATCACATCCTTTCTTTTTCCCTCAGATGTAATCTATCTAGGAGGTTGAATAAAAATATTTGGACTTTATTCAATTTAGCACCAGAAAGCTCGTTAGCTAGACAGTTAGCATCAGCTAACATTATTGTTTTATTTTCAGTATGGTTATGAATAAACATTTATATTTGTCTACTCCTCTAGTTGATCCAGATGCATAGTAACTTAGGCTATGTGTGCTGACAAACAATATAAAAACAGATAGGGCTAAATGCATAGCATTTTAGTAAAACTGCTAACGTTACAGCAGCGGGGAAGATGAACGTGCATGAGTTATTTTATTTAATCTGTGTTATTTTAATGTTTTTTGACCTAAAACATAGAGACTCTGATGTTAATGTGTCTGCATTCAAGCATTTCAGTGGGCTTAAACAGATTACCCTTTACAGCAGATTTATCTCACAAACAGAACTGACAGAACGTTATGTGTTCTAACACACGCGCATTGCATGTATGGAAAGCCATATGGGTCATAATTCGCACGCTTTCCACCGCCGTATCGATATTAAAACGCCGTTTTCATAACGCCGTTAAATAAGCGCCGTTAGGCGATAAGTTAACGGCAGACGCCACCACGCGTTAAAATAACGCCACACGCCGACCGACGTTAAGTTAACGCCACACGCCACTTAAGATGCAGATTTATTTGCTCATCTACATGGACACACCTCTCATGGCTACAAGGACTCTACGGCAAGTCGGAGCATCCAGTTTGCAAGAGCGCGAAGATGGCAAGTACAGCCCTTACAATTCTAGATGTAGGGGGAAAATGCCCCTGAATGAGCTTTTGTCTCATAAAGTTATCACACGAGTCATGAATGAGTGCAAATTTGGAAATTATTTTATACAACAGTTAAATAAATAAGAAATGTTATGGTAAGTCTTGCAATATATTTACTGATGCTGTGTGGAAGACTGCAAAGAACTCTGCCTATCTAAAAGACAAGGGTTTGGGGATTCAAAAGGACATTTTTAGAGAGGTGATCATGAAAAAACCAACCTGTCCAGAGGCAGTGGTGGACGAAGTACACAAATCAAGTACTTGAGTAAAAGTACAGATTTTTTTCTTCTCAAACCTTGACTGTGGTGTAAAAACACCCCTGGCCAAATGCCCCCCGAGGGCATCACTTCCCACTTTGATAATTACTGTAGTTACCATGTTCTGAACATCACATCCTTTCTTTTTCCCTCAGATGTAATCTATCTAGGAGGTTGAATAAAAATATTTGGACTTTATTCAATTTAGCACCAGAAAGCTCGTTAGCTAGACAGTTAGCATCAGCTAACATTATTGTTTTATTTTCAGTATGGTTATGAATAAACATTTATATTTGTCTACTCCTCTAGTTGATCCAGATGCATAGTAACTTAGGCTATGTGTGCTGACAAACAATATAAAAACAGATAGGGCTAAATGCATAGCATTTTAGTAAAACTGCTAACGTTACAGCAGCGGGGAAGATGAACGTGCATGAGCTATTTTATTTAATCTGTGTTATTTTAATGTTT